AAAAAAAAAAAAAAAACAAAAAAAATTATTGGGGGGGAAGGAAGGAAGGGAAGAAAGATAGAGAGAGAAAATGGGTAGTGATTGCTCATTGGCCAGCCATTATCTGCAATGACCTTGTGTCAGGCCAAAACACAAGGATCCCCCCCCCCCCTCCCGTATTCCTCCTCGAGCTTCAGCGGGCCGGGCCCCCTGTACACCATGAGTGGGCTGGACAGAGAAATATAGTCATCCCCACCCAGGGTACCCCCCCTCCCCCTCCCAGGTGGCTTGCACTGTGCGTGCCCTCCTACCCCTCTCCTTGTATGAGGGGAGGGCCTTCCCTTTGAACAGAAATGGTGGAGCTGTGGGCAGGGAGAGAATATACCAGAAACATGACCGTTGCCTAGTTCCCTGCCCCCCAGGATGGCCGCTTGGGTCGCAAACCGCAAACCAGGGAGTTTTCTCACGCAGTCTTTGTTTCTAGGGCTCGACTTTCTTCATCTGCATGAGTCCAGTAACCATGTGAGAGTGACCCTGTGGATACAGTGAAGAATAAAGAGGGTGTACAAATATATATACGTATGAAAGCAGAGCTTCTGTATTATGCATGTAGGAGCTGGTTGCTGCAGGGATTTACTCCTTAGTCCCCTAGATGCACACCATGGCAACAGTCCCCCCATTAGCAGGAAGGCAGGCTTAGGTGGCTTGTTTGTGGAATTAAAATTCACCTTACAGAAGTGATGGGACTTTTCCCTAATATTCCACCACTGTTAATTAGTGGTAAATGAGGAGGGTGATGGATTATAGGGAGAGAGACCTTCAGAGTTCTCTCTGTCACGCTCTCTCTCTTTCTCTTTCACACACACATACACACGCACAGGCACACACACACCTATGCCCCATGTCCAATCTCACATTCACCTATTTGCCTTTCCAGTCACACACATCTCTCCATCCCCCATGTCCAATCACATGCATATCTCCCTGTCCTCTTTGTCCAATCACATCTCCCCATCCTCTCTGGCCAATCATATGCACATCTAACCCCTTGTCCAAACACATGAATATTACCCCATCCCGCATGTCCAGTTACAACTACAGATGAGGCTTAAGTAATGCCCTGACAGTGGTATGACCTTGTTCTCTGCAGTACTGACTCTCCTCAGTCTCTCCAGACCCCCACCTGTTTGGGCCTAATTATAACCATATTACAGATCTGAGTAGCTGACCGTCTCTCTCTGGCAGAGCCTAGGAGGTGACCGTCTCTCTCTGGCAGAGCTGAGGTGACCGTCTCTCTCTGGCAGAGCCGAGGAAGTGACCGTCTCTCTCTGGTTGTGCTGAGTAGGTGACCGTCTCTCTCTGGTTGTGCTGAATAGGTGACCGTCTCTCTCTGGCAGATCTGAGTAGCTGACCATCTCTCTGACAGATCTGAGGAGGTGACTCTCTCTCTGGTGGAGCTGAGGTACTTTATTGGTACTTTGGGGTGGGACTTCCAAATACTTTCTTCAGAATTTAAACCCCTGCATTATATTGTCCGTACAGAATGAAGGTATGAAAAAGCCTGATCTCAATCTGCAGCATTGTAGCTGACTATCACAGTTAATACTATACTTTAGCTATTTTCTTGAAGTATGAAAAGTAGGGTACCTGGTGTGGTGGGAAAGCACTCCATGATGTCATGGTCATGAGAAGCGTCTGGATTCCATTAGCATGGAGTGACACAGACGGGGGGGGGGAGGGCTGTCCACGGCTCCTGTGCATCTGATTGGTGAGGTTATTTGAATCAGCCCCTTTGGGATGTTCATGTTGGATTATGTGTATTTTGTTTTCACTGTAGGGAGGGTCTGTACCTGTTTTTGCTTCCTAGCCTTTTATAAGTTGGTAAGAGGGAAAGAAAAACAGATGTGATTTATCACTTTTGAGACCTTCTCATGTGGCTTCCTGTAAATCTGCTCTTCTGGATCAATACAATCTGAATATTGTGCTCCACAGAGTCGTACAACTTCTGAGAGAGGTCTCAGACAGCACCCTATCTATAGTGCCTTTTCATTTGATCCTTCTTGAAGATGTTCTCTGTTAATTTTCCTCAGAAATCTGATTCCCTGAGGTGTGTTTTGATGTTGCAAGAGTGAATTTTGGGCAGAAAACATCTTGTTTTGGTGTCTCTGGATCAATTTTCCTTGCCTAGAAGCTTTGCTGTCCAAAAACAACCATTTAGCCTTGAGTATTGATTCTGAGTGACAGTCATGCTGACAGGTGCTTGTGAAAGTTGTTTTCGAAGGCCTCTCTGAAAAGCCAGCTGATAGAAGTCGTTATGGCTCTACGTTCTTGGTGCCTTTCGGATCTCCTAATCTGAAGAACCCCTTTGAGACTTTTCTTGTTTATCTTCCCCGGTGAGTGATAGGGACGGCAAATTGTGTCCTCTTCTCTCCAACTTTTGCTTTAAAGTTTTCCCTCATATATTTTGTGGAGGTGCGGGGGGGTGGGGGTGGGGGGGGGGGGTGGTGAAACAGGGTTGTACAGACGCTTTTTGTGGAGCAGGTGCTCAAAGTTTGGGCACTCATTTAATTTAGAGCTCATACACAGGTTCTTATTAAACACACTCTGTGAGAAACCAGAGTATGCTGAGGAAGAGAGGGAGGACATGTGGACTCCACATGCTTGGAATGGGGTAGGATTCGAACCCACTACCCTGCGGTTGTGAGGCAATTTTTTTTTTGAGTGTGCATGATCTAAGCTGCTCATGTGACAGCCCTATCCCCCGGCCCCCACCCCATGTGCTTTCAGGAAGGGAGCCCTGCTCCTGAACACCAGCTTGGCCCTGATGGCCGCTGTGCTCCTGGCTCTGGGCGAGCGGGCAGGCTCCTTCGAGATGCTCATCCTGGGCCGTTTCGTTATCGGCGTGGACTCAGGTGAGCACTGCTGCTGCCGTCGTTTCGGGCCTTTGAAGGGCGAGTAGCCATATTAACTTATTGTGAAACACCTTTCAAAGGCATCACAAAACCACACAACAACAACACAATACAGTATAAAAATATCAGACTTGAGTACCAATGACTTTAGTACCACAGTATGCAAAATACAAGTCAAAATGCAAGATATAACACGGCATCACACTTTTTCTACAAACCTTTCATGAATGGCATTAATGGCATTATTCAGATGGGGGTTGTTAAACAGGGGACACATGTTAGTAGCTGGGCATCTGAGTGCATTTTAAATGCAAATGTAGGCGTCTAAACAAAGAAAGTGTGATTGATGGCTGCTTGTAAGGATGTGCTCAGAATAAAGTGTATTTTCTTTTTCCAATACGGACCTCCTCTTTGAGAAGGATTCCTTCGGCATGACGCTGAAAAGGGTCATTTTGTAAAGATTATCGATGGCATGTAGAATCAAAGACCATAAGCCTGGCAGGCAAGTGTTAATGAAAGAAGATGGGTGACAGCCAGGTAAAATCTGCTCACTTCACAGGGAAGCAGGAATGAAAACTCACTTTCAAGGAGGTGGAGGGGAACCGCCTTCAGTTTGACCAAAATTTAATTTAAGAAGTTTAGTTATTTATGTGAGTTTGGCCATGGAGGACAAAACGTCTGCTTCCTGCAATTCTGCGCTGGAAGAAAAAGCATTGGGAAACAGTTTGCTGTAGTTTGGTTACCATGGGAATGAGACGCCGGTCAGCTGGATTCACTCGTCTGCAGCAGACCATGTTGTTATTAATATGCAGCTGTGTTTTGAGCTGTTGAGGAAGCTGTTAATAATGATCACCGTGACGACCACCTGTCTCCCTCCACCGTGGTCCCGCTGGTGAGTGATGCCGGTGATCATTGAAGCACTGTGTCGCTGCGTTTAGATGTAACTTCTCGGTTCGTGCTTTAATGCAAAGTGACATATTCGGTTCTCATCTGGAACGGCTCTGCTGCAGTGACTCGCTGGCGGCCCTTCTTGGGGTATTCAGTTGTGGTAGAAAAATGGGTTTCTCCCCCCCTTTGCTCCACTGTCTGCCCCTCCAAGGTCCGAGCTTCTGCGGAGCCAACTGCAGACAGCTATCACAAAGCGAGGTCACACAGTATTCAAAACAATCTCTTCTCGCCTAAGGCCTAAGACATAACAGACCCAATATGCCTCCCCTCCCGGGCCTACTAATGTCCAATTTTACTTCCACACTGTCCCCTCTCCCCTTCACTGTCATGTGGGTGTGAGGTTTTTTGACCCTGTTGATGAAGTCCCCCCCCCCCCCCATTAGTGAGGCCCTCATCCAGCCAGGAGCACAGTGCAATAGTCACCAGGGCTTCAGATGACAGACGAAGCATTTGGCCGGACGCCAGCTTTTCGGTGCTATACAGACATTTATTTATGCCCATAATTTGGTAAGAAGATTAGTATTATGGCTTAAATATTAATAGATGCGTTTTGTTAGTAATCTGTATAAACTTTATGTTTCTTAAATTCGATTAGCGTTGCACCCCACATAATACTGTTTTGCTATACTACGTTTTGGTATACTACAGTTTGGTATACTACAGTTTGGTATACTACGGTTTGGTATACCTCAGTGCAATATGCACTGAAGTCGCGGTGAAGAAGAGCAGCCACAACATCTTTTAAAAGAGGAGATCTTGTGGATAAACAAGGTAAAAAGACGCCGGCGGTGTGGTGGTACTTTTTGCAGCTCAAAAGTCTGACACATTTATTAAACATAAGGATATGCGTATTTATACTAATAATGACTTTTGGACGTCATGCAAAGCCTCATACATTTTTTAGCCATACTACTAAACTGGTTAAATTATGGGCGTAAATAAATGTCCGTATTTCACCGAAAAGCTGGCGCATGGCCAAATGTTGTGCCTGTCATCCGAAGCCCTGGTGATTATTGCACATGCGTGATGCAATATTGATATGATATCGCCCAGTCCTACCTGTAACCATGCCCACACCAGCCTACGCCCACTATTACACCCCTGTAACCATGCCCACATGGTCACTCCTGCCGTCATTCCCCCATAACAATTCCCCATATAGTCACATCCTCATGTCACCAAGTCCACCACATAACCACACCAAGCACATAGGCACGCCCCCATCAGTTTCTGCACAGCTTTGACATGAACGCCCTGCATACTCTGCTGTTATGTCTAACGCTCTGTTGCCCATGGTGACGGCACGTACAAGTCACATCTGTGTCGATCACTGCCTTAAAGTGCAGGGTAACTATGTGGTTTAGTTAGTCTCTGAGCATCTGGGACATGGTGGGTGCACCAAGTCCATAGGAAACCCAGGGGACACTGTGCCACCTTGGTCTCCTGGGCAACCAGAAGAACCCTGTGCATCAAACTAAACTAACTGGTCTGGTTGAACTATGGGTTCAACAGGAATTAATTTAGCATCATTTTAGGACCAGATGAGAAATGCTGCGTTTGCTCTGTGTGGCTTCTTTTGTGTGACTCGTCAGCTTAGCATTCTGCGCTTGTGTCCGGAAGGTCGCTGGTTCAAAGCCTGTGGCCGTCAGAGTAATCGCATCACTTTTGGGCTGTGTTACTGGGAGTGCCTGTGGTGCCTCGTCGTTGCTTAACTTTCTCTCTTAGTGCTGAACTTTGGAGATGCTTCACAGAGCAGGACAGACCGGCCAGCCTGTGGGTAACTGGCCCCGTCCTTCCTGTCAAGGTCGAGCTGAATTGATGAGTTCCGGGCCAAGGATTATTTATGATGGATATTAAGCCTACTGCCTGACAGCCTAACAAAAAATAAATTAAGGGGACCCCCCGGTCATGTTCCATCAAGCTGCAGGAGATCTCTAAGGCCTTCAGAATCTCACCAATTTGAACAAAGCAAATCTCCACATCTGAGAGAACAAGATGAAACCATCTGAAGGCAGATCCTTCGTTGTGGGTGACCAACTGCCCCTCTGTCCTCTGCCAGCTTTCCGGAACAGTCCGTAGCATTCGCGGCTGCCGTTGACACCTCAGACATGGCTGCTGTTACCATGAGGATGTTTGTCTTCGTGTCCCTGCAGGGATCGGCCTCAGCGCCCTCCCCATGTACCTGGGCGAGATCTCCCCCAGGCAGATCCGCGGCTTCATCGGCCAGTTCAACTCGGTCTTCATGTGCTTCGGGGTGTTCACAGGGCAGGTGCTTGGCCTGCCTGAAATTCTGGGACAGGTGAGTGTGTCCGTGAGGCCAGCCTGCATTCCGGGTGCCCTGGGGTTTGAGGCTAACCTACACTTGGTCGGTGAAGTGCATCAGCGAGTGTCCGCCAATTCAGATTATATACAATACTGTGCAGAATTATCAATATAAATGTCTAAAGCTATTTATCTGCACAGTCAGTGCATTCCTGCTCAGGAAAAAACTATTTAAATATATATATATATATATACACTTTAAATATATATATATATATATATATATATATATATATATATATATATATATATATATATA